ATATTTCACATTTCTCCTGTCCTTACCGTCACTACTGCTGAGCATATTCTCAGGCTGAAGAATTAATTAGCATCATCTGTGTAGCTCCTCAAGTTTCTGTACAATAAATTCCACACTGTACGAACAGCTTTCATCTAACTGTAATCTTGTTTTATATATATAATACATGCATACTTACTAATCTCATATTCTAGGCTATTGTATGTTAACTTGCCTATAAACAGAAGGTCAGGTGAGAACACTAGGTAGGCTGAATTCATTCATTACAGCATTTCAATTAATATTGAATAATTGAAAGTAAATACTTCTAATAGTCTTTAGTTTTAAGACTGCTTACGTTAGCCCATTCTGATTACTGTGAGTGAATATTAGTTTAATGGTGACCTCCAAAATATTTTCCCAATATTCAAATGTCTCAAATACCAGAGGATTTCAAAGCATTTTTCAAACTAAAATATTATTTTGCAGGCAGTATCACATTGAAATCTTACAGTACCCACTGTTCTGATTTTACTCCAATAAAAGTATATATGTACATGCACACAGACGTGGACATAGTATGAAAAGTTTAGAGAAGCTCTTGAATCTAATTAAAATTTAGTTACTTCCTCCTTGGCATATATGCTGCTGGCTTCAGTAATAGTTAATAAAACTCCTACTTAAGAAGGAAAGACAACTTTATAACCATCTGGGCCCTTCAACAATGCAAAATGCCAGATCCCATCTCAGTTTACCCATCCATTGTCTCGTATTGCTTTAATTAAGTAAATTATGCTTTCATGTCACCTCTTGGTCAGTTTGGTGAAAAAATACAAACAACTACAGTACAATACAATAGCAGCTCTTACTTTTGTCTCGTTCACTGATTTAAATGCATTTTCTCCATCTTGAGTGCTATCTGTCACCACTACTCCACTTCCGAATTCAGCAGGAGAACAGATGCTGGTAGTGCAGCCCTTGTGAGACCCCTCCGTGCCCAGCACTTAGTGCTGCTGTCATAACACCCCATTGCATCACATTCACCTCCAAACAGTGACTCGTGAGCACATCATAATCCTCATTTCCCTACTTTGGGGTAACTCCCATACGTTATGAGTGCTGTATTCTCCATGTTTTTGACATTTCAACATAGGGTGTGACAGCCAGCGCAGCACCTATCGACTCTACTGGATTTAAATTGATCTCCACCACAGCTATTCTTTCTTAATAACTCTGCACAGCAGCTTTGGGAATGCCAACAGAAGAAAAACTCAGGTGCAGACATTATAAGAGTTGAAGTGCTAGAAGAAATCATTTCAGTTTTAACAAAGCCGAGGTTTGTAAAGGTGCTTAGGCATCAAGACGTTTGATCTAAGCTTAAACAGATAAATTTGGATGTTGGATTTTATAATCTTATATAGTAAAACGATGATTTTATCTAATCAAGAGGTCGAAGTGTATTTAAATGTGTTCCTTTTCCTTCTCTTTGCCCCCTTTTAATAATTCAGCCTAGCGTCAAGTAGGTAATATACTGTAAAAGATGAATAGGAAAGTAGATACTCACGTGGAGAACGTCCTTCATGAAGGATGGGTAAGAAATTAAGATTAAAAACGTTCACGTCTTTCACAGAAACAAGACTAATCTTTTCATTTTTAACTTACCTTGTATTTATGAGACATCAACTGCAGACAGTAAAGGCAATTGCCACAATGACCTAAAAGCAGCGTTAGCAAGTTCTGACAGCTTATTAAAAGCTGTGACCGAAGGCTGGGAGATCCACATGGACTGCCTGTGACATGGACCTCACAGAGCCTGGCCAAGGCTCATCTGTATCCCTCTGAGGTGGCTCTCGTGGCTGTTAGTGGGGACACTTCACATTAGTTTTACACGTTCATTAAGCCGCCCAAAAGATTTAGATCTTGACCCCTCGCTAAAAGCGAATGCAATCACATCTTATGACTGCATGTCTTCCCACATCTGAAGACTGACTTCACACAAAATATGGATTTTCCAGCACTTGCAGTCCAATTTCTTGCCAGAAGCAAAGTATCCAAAGCAACAGAGCCAGTAGAAGATACAATCCATAGTGGTGAAATCACAAGGCCATAATCAGTCCTTGGGATGACTTAGCATGAGACATGGCTTTGAATGTTAACTGAGACCAGGACTTTTGGATTGCTAAGTATAACTACCATCCATGAGCAAAGCCCAAGATTTACATTTCTTAATATGCCTAAAATATCCTTTTCATATGTGGCAAACTGTGGAAACATATACCTCTGGAGATTATCTGGCTCAATCTCCTACTGAAAGTATGGCCTTGGATTAGGTTATCCACAGCCATGTAAAGCCAAGTCCAGAATGCTTGGATTAGAACATGAAATGGTATGAGTAATACCATAGGAGTCACCGTTGCTTTAGTGAAGTCACATAAAAAATTAAGAAAAGGCACTCCAAAGAGGCCACGGCTCAACTGGCCCATAGGAAAGAGCAAAGCTGGCCCTGTAAAACAGAAGTATGTGGGTACCCATCCCTCCACAGGTACTGGCAAGACAGCCTATATATTCTTAAAACTACATTTACAGACTTCACATAGAAAAGTTTAGCCTTGAATGTAACTGTTCCATTCTTTGGCCATGGTGATATTATTACTACTTTTATTTCTGCTGGCAGGAATCTGTTGCCTACAGCTGCAAACTAATATAAACTCAAACTTTCTGGGTCACCAGAAATGTGACAAAGAGCTCTCTGCAGTTCCTTCATCCACAAGATAATGACATTAAAGTATTAACATGGTGTCAGAAGTTGTTTGTTGCCTCTTCTTTTCCAGTTTTCCTTCTTCTTAAGCATTTCATTTCACAGATATTTAATTGCATAAACTTACAATAGACCTTAATACAAATAGATATGAGCTAGTAAATATTGGAGGAAAAATGTATAGAAAGAGTTGGGAATCCGTAGTGGTATAAAGGACTTTGCTGATGGGGTACTTACTTCACTTTAGTCATAAAGCATCATCATGCAATACAGGTCTTGCAGTTTTAAGCTGAATATGCAGAAGTTCCCCAACACAGAACAGGAAGGCAAGGGCCCCATTATAGCTTTTGTTTCTCTCAATACTTAAAACTAGTCCAGGAAAAAAAAAGCCAACAAACAAGCAAACGTGACAGGCTGTAGGACTGTACCACATTTGCATTAGAATGGAACACTGGATCCAACAGGCTCCTCCTGTCCCTCACTTTGTAAATTTTGGAATTATGGCAAACTTTGTTTTTCATTTTCTCCCAGGTTAAAGTCATAGCAATTGCCTTTCATTTTAATAAGCAGTGTGGATGCCTCGTGAATTTAACTGGGTTTCTTATGATATGTCACGTTTAATGGCTGACAGCTATGCAAGAGCTTATTACTTTTGGGATCCTGGTGATTTTTAGCACTATACTGGCTTCTTATGACATTTCACACAGGAAAGTTGGAGTAAGCAGATAAACACCTTCTTATACATTACAAGAGGTCTGATCAAGAGAAATGTATATCTTTACATTCTACATTATTGCTTATACAAATGGTGGAAGCAGTTGAAAAGGTAACACTTCCCATGTTTATTAACACCTTTATTCTTGTGCATACAAATGGTGGAAGCTGCTTTTAAAAAAGCAGTATTTCTCAGCCAGTTACCTCGCTTACTTCCTTTTCCCAGCAGAAGTAGGGAACCATGAGCAATCTCCTGTTTCACTTTCTAATCACTTCTAGTAAAAGTCATCCTTTCATGGCCACCACTGCATTGCCAAGCCCACGAGAAATCTCAATCCTATTCTAACCCTTGTTTTTTGTGATGTAACACAGAGTCCTCGGATGGCATTGAATTAAGCTATGAAAAATCTCAGGAAGGGATTGTTATTTTAAACTAGTCTACTATACAATGAAGTTTCTCTGTGGAAGACCCCGGCCCTGCTGATAGTTTTCTTAGTGGTAAAGCAGGACTGAGTAAAGCAGTGCCTTCTCACCATTTGTGCCTTGACAGCTGCAAGAGCAGCGAGTGCAGAAATAACAGCAAGGTGCAGAGGGATGGAGCAGAATATGTTTTGCACCTTGCTCTTACCCATCAGAGTGCATGCACTTCCTCATCTTTATTTTTTTTCCCAATTATAAACTGGGAAGATGAAGGTACAAGCTTAGGAAAGAGCTTATGTCATATACATGCCCTTAAATCAAAAAGGAACGTATAAGTACAAGGTAATTGCAATTAAACATAGCCCAAGTTCACAGGATATGAGGGAGGTAAGTTCTAACCTTAGCACATTTGGTAATAGCCAGCCTCTCACTGACATTCTTCCCATCCACGCTGCCTTCCTGGTGAGTCAATAAACTCAGCTGTGGTTATTCAACTGCACTGTAACATAGCTGCTGCAGTCCAGTGCAGTGGAAGCTACACCATTGTGGGCACAGAGCAATCCCCACGGCCACTTTCCCTGAGAGCAATGCTGTGAAGAAAATACTGAGTTTGCAAAACGCTTGGAGATATTTGGAACAAATGTGCTAAAGCTTTGCAAAACATTCACTTTGCTTATAGAGGCCAAGGTTATTTACTGTGGCCTTTCTAAGTAATAAATCTGATCATTTTCAGTTATAAGGAGCACAAAACCAAGCTCAGTGCAGCCATCTCATTCTTAATCTCACATCATGAAATTCAGCCCTTCTGCAAAGAAAGAATTATTTTTGGGGCTAAACACTTGCATGTTGCTGAGAGAAAAATAAATAAGTTATGCTTACAAAAGGGTAAAACAGAGGTTGTGAACACAGGCAAAGTTTTCCCTGTCACCTGGTGAGCAGCATGCATCACTAGCATGGCAGATATATTCACAGTAGTCCTGGAATTGTGAATGCCTGTGTTGTGTTCTGACTAAGCATGCCTTTGCAGAAGCAGAGATTACTGTTATCTGCTCACGTAAAATCATTGTGGTGGGTCTGTTCCAGCCTGAATTGCTGCTCCACCAGACTGAGGCTTATGGAAATGACTTACCTGCCTCGCCACTTGAATTAGAAAGATGGAGAGAAAATGCAGTGCGATAGCTGCCAGACTGCTTATCATCATCTTGCTTTGTTGTTGTTGTGCTGTTAGGTCCTTTGGGTACATGCCCAGATGCTGGAAGTTCAGAGACACAGACTCTTGTCAAAGGGCATTTAGTAACCAAATAGCCTTCATTTGTTGCCTGTTTATTAATTACATTACGTTCTGTTAAATGTGCACTCCTGTTTGGTCTGCGTGGAGTCTTGTTTTCTCTCAGGAGCTTTATCTGAAGCATCTTCTCTATTGACTCTCCATTACCTATACCATCTACTCCATCTGCTGTTAATCTAGACGAACTACAATTTATATTGAAGGACAACGCTGATCTATAAATTTTTTGGCATTTAATTCGAGGTCGGTCAAGGCACACATTGAGTGACTTGTCTATGTAATAGATGGTATTTGGACACTGCTGAGAAACCCGAAGGCGGACAGATGAGGTGAATGAAGGTGGTACTTTCTCTCTCCCATCGCTGCTTTGAAGACACACACCATTCTCCCCGTTCCTGAGGCTGAAAAACCTCTCACGCAGCTCTCTACTTAATTTTGAGCAACAAGCAGAAACCTGTGATGGAGTGACTTTGGGGTTTGCTTGGTCAGGTGAAAGTCGGTGGTGGAGGGCAGCAGGGATCTCACTCAAGGTGGGGGTCACAGCATGGGGCTCTGGCACAGCCCCGGGTCTCCAGGTTGGATCATTGGATCCTGCAGTGACACGCCGGGCTGTAATAGTTATGGAGGCAAAACCCTTCTGCTTTTGACACTGTTTTCCATCTGCGATGGGACAGCCTGATGGAGAGGTGGTATCATCTAAGGATGACTGGATTTCTAATCGGCTGGCAAGTACAGCAAACGTGCTGTTAATGTTTACTGAACCATCGTTAGCCAAAGATTGCTTTGTGTGGCAAGTGCTGGGCTGGGGGGTCACAGCCTGCATCAGCAAAGCAGACCGATTTTCTTTCAATTTATTCTCATCAATCATCTGTGAAATGACTATTGGTGAAATCAATTTTCTATTTGTTGATGACAGAGATTCCTGAAAATGAAAAGATTCAAATTATCAACATATTCTATCATAACATATGTAACTATTTTTCATCTATCACACAAGACAGACAAGATCTCTTGTTAAATTTCTATTTATACTCTTCCCTCCTTCCCCCCCTATCTTAAAGCACACATTCTTAAAGTCAGCTCTGAATTGCCAGAGAGGCTCCAGTAAATATTTTACCCAGCGTAAAAATATATTTGAATTAAAAATGTGCATCCTGTACTATTAATTGCAGTATTTAACCCATTGCTGCAATTGGGATTTGGGGCTGCTATGTTGTTTAAAAGTTGACACACTGAAGGCAATTTTGAAGTCTGCTCTTTCATTACGGCCTGCTAGGGTTTTAAATGCATTCAAGTGAGTTACAGATCATTAGCCTGAAGGTTCACGTGTGCATCATGTGCTGTAGAGAACACGTGGGCATCTGTCATTGTTGCTTTATGACCTGAGTGGTAAAAAAGCATGAAAAAACTTCCCCATGTTCCCTCTAAGGTGATATTATTTCCTACAAGTGCTACAAGCACAATTTTAATTCATCAGTTCCTTCTTGCTCATCAAATGCAAAACCACATTGTCCAAGTTGAACTGACTGTGGCCCACATTCACATTTCTGAGCATGGAAGTAAACATCTTGACAGATCATATGCTGCTTCATCTGATGGGATAAAAGTAGTGCTTTTATGTTAAAGCTGTTTAACAGGGAGTAAACCCGAATTTAAAATCTCCAGCTATTATCATCCACAAAGCTCGTCACATGGGTGATATGCAATAAGGCATCTCTCTGCTGCTCTAAATTGGCTGATTAGATTGCTTCTGCCCCGGGTTCCTAGATTTTGCAATCCTAACAGATAAAAAGCCCACTGAATTGTCATGCAAAATCTGAGGATTTGCTCTGTAATGAAAGTTCATTCAATTTAATTTAGAGTTTAGGTCCCATTTGCTAGCCTGTACTGTTCCTGCTTATTGTGCATTCATCTCAGTCAGCTCTGGGCATCCGTATCATCTGCTAATCAATGCCAGTGCTTAACCAGTATTTCACCCTGCTCTGAAGCCTAAGGGAAAAACCATAGCCGAGCTCCCATCCCCTGTGCATGGAAACAACACAGAATAACGGCTCCTTTTGTAGCTCTTGGGAAGGCTGTTTTGGGAACCCAAATAAGTAGAGTTGGATCAAGAGTTTATTAACGAGGTGAAATGTCAGGTGAATTTTATCTACTCTTTAAACCAGCTGCCTGTGGTTTTGACAATTCAATAATTTCACAGCCCCAGGGAAAGCATTTTCTTCCTTCTTTGTAAAAACATTTGCCTTACGTTTTCTGCACTGCATTTACTTCTACCTGTAGGTTTGAGACCTTCGCATGACTTCTAAAACTCTCGACTTCCCTGAGATTTTTATGAGCCCTGAAGAAGGTTCCTTGATACACTTCATTCTGTGGAGGCATCACTTGCTGTAGCAGCTGATATGACATTTATTTATTCTGTTAAGGGCTGTACAGATGGAAACTTCATGCAAGAGTCCCAAAACATGTCAAAACTTATCTCTATTAGCTTCAGATACAAATTTTAGGTAATTCACTTCTTTTGCTGCTTGAGTAAACATACTCTTCCCTCCTCCCAACCTTTGGCAGGGAAGTGAATCTTGAAGGTTTGATCAACTGATTCTATGTTCTTGGGGAGTTTTCAAGCCTCACTGCATCTTGTGGAAAAAGCATGCACTTACACCAAGTAATTGTGGTGAACAGAAAACCTCAGGCATTATCCTGAGAGCATCTGAGACAGCGTACTGGTAATTGGGATACCACTTGATTTAAACCCCTGGGAGGTTTTTAATTACCTTTTTTCCCAACAAAACATGGGTTTTTTCCTCAACAACAGCACGCTGACTCACAACCTCTTTAGCCATCATTTCATTTGGCTTTTTGACTATGTAAGCTGAGCACAGGGAAACAAAATCAAGTCTAAACACACTGTTCAGCATCCAGCATCTGTTTTTAAAAGCTAAACGCCTTCTGCTGACTCTTATCTACTTATTATTTATTCATCCTACCTCTGCAAAGCTTGGTTTTCTCTCCACAGCACTCTCCAGCTGTTGGCCTGTGCATGTCCTGTTACTGCCCCACTGCTTCCATGCTGCTCCTAGGAAACAAACACAGGGAAACGTTATCACTGGCGAGCTGGAGGAGATGGATGATCAAGTTTGGCTTTAAGCAGAGTGCAAGCAGGAGGGAGAGTGTTCTGGTAAGTGATCTGCCTGCCCTGGGAGCTGGATATAGGAAGGATCACGTTTCCCCCATTCTCAGGAGAGGAGTTTGGGCACTGCCAGGATGCTTTGCAGAGACACGTTTGGGAACAGCTGCACAACCTGTCTAGGTCTGAGCACAGCTTGAATCTCTCAGCCACCGGTTCACCTGTATGCAAGGTGTGTGTGTGGAATGTAGGGGAGATGGGAATTGACTTCAACAAACTTCCCTTCTGCCTGATCTGCAGAACCTGAGAGCACAAACAAGCACATTAATGGACTGGATGCTATAAGACTCCTCTATTCTGGACTAAGATGTCTGAACATTTAAAGAACTGCAGTAATTTTGAAAAATACTCACAAATACCATCATGCCATTTCCAGTTCAGGGATGCTATCCTACCTATGATATCAGTCTCTGAGCTTGTGATCAGTACTGCTTTTTACCCTTTTTACAAGAACTAATTACCGTGTAACACAGAGTCTGGGACACTGCAATGGTGCATTCCATTGGCTGTGAGTTGTTAATCTAGAAATTACATTACTTCCCATATGGTAATAAACATCTGAGGTTAATTTCCAAAAATTCTCTATTTGAACTGAAATTTTCTGACATTACTGGCTGTTTCTTCAAATCAAGACACGCCACCATAAGATTTTTTCCTTCTTCCACTTAGGCTGCCTGCTATAGAAGTTGATGGCTTTATAATGAGCAGAAAATCAGTTTGTGTGTAGTAATACAATAGCAAAGAAATGTAAATAAGCTCCCCTTTAAAAACAATTGTCCATTATTGTGCACAGGCTACACGCATGACTCTGGGGACAGTTAAAGAGTAGAAACAAAAGAGGGGTAATGTGTCAGGTCTGTCCTACGTTAACAGATGTCCTTGAGTCTCACCACGGGACAGCAATCACAGAACAGGTTGATTGATGATCTTTCTCTTTTACTAAAGGAGTACTTCACTGATACAGCTCCAAAACACCAATGCACCAATGCCACTGTATATACATGTAGCTGGTAGGGAAAAAAAAGGAGGTTTGCCCTTCTCCTTGAGCCACAGAAAGTCCTGAGGAAAAAACATCTGGACTCATTGGCCACAGAAAGGGGAAAAAAAGAATCCAGAAAGTAGCTGGAGCAGAGGGCTCACTGCACTTTTATTTATTTTTACAAAGAAATAACACAGTTTAAATGGATGAAAATGCAGTGAACGAGATCACAGTAACTGCTGGCAAAACACATGAGTGAGATACCATCAGAGCTTGCTCCTCATGGTTGAGATGCATAGTGAAAAGGAGGTGCTGCAGCAGAGATGGTAACTGCTAGGTGGGCTCTATGGAAAGAGAATAGCCAGCATATCAGCACCGTGGTGAATACATGAGGATGCATTCACAATGTCAACCTTTAAACAACTAAATAGGAAGTAACTTGCAGAGAAGGATGAGGAAGAAATTGTTGGATTGAGCTAAGGCAAGACATCAAGGAATCTAGAGGTTTCAGAAACAAAGCAGATGTAAATAAAGCAAAAACTTTGCTATCAACTTTTTTCCTCAAATACTTTATGGTAAGAAAACCACAGTTGTCTGAAATAGAGCTGTGAAGCTACAAGAGGAGAACATCAACTTGCAAATGTCAGCTAGTGTGCAAAGAACTCAAAAAGGCTGGCTGGAGATAAATCAGAACCAGAAAGCCATGTTTTGCCAGATGGTCTTTCATGAAGTTCGTTCAAATGTATTTTCAGCACAAGAGAAGTTACTGAATTCTACAGGGTCCAACAAGAACAAGTCATCAAAGTCCACACAGTTTATTATGTATAATCTGTAAATTATTCTTACAGTAACCTCCTGTGATATCTGTAGGTAAGACCTTCCAATTTCACAGAGACATTTTGAAATATATTAGTTAATTCTTGTTTAACTTTAAAAAAGTAGATGCTTCTGGAGATGTGAAGGAAATATATATTTTCTTTGCTAAATCATCCAAAGGGGAGTTTCACGTTGCCTTCTGTACCCTATGCTGTGCAATAACATTCTCATATTACTACAGATATTCTATTCCTTCAAAATTCCCAGATTTTTGGTGAGTCACTCGATCTGATTGCTGAAAGAGACTAAATAAATTGTAGTGGTTGCAAAAGGTCCAGTCATTTTCCCAATATTAAGTATAATCTTAGAAGCTTTACATTTGTTAACTAACATCATCAAACAAAAAAAGATCTCTTACAAAAGAGCTTGAATCTATGTTTGTAATGACAATTCCTTGGGTAGCACACGGGTTTAACTGAGATGTGTCCCAAGCAGAATGTTCATGGAAATTCTCGTTGCTGACAAAACAGACTGCACTGTAACTCTTGTTGCACAAAGAATGCTAAGTTCAGTCTTTCCTTGATGCAAAAGCAAAAAGAAACAGCATTTCAAATACTTTCCATCTCTGTGGGGAGCATGAGAAACTTATTTCTGAGCTGAAATCCTGAGGATTTGCTTAACCTCCCCTTCCCACTGCGACCCACCTCTCCATCTTACAAACGAGAGATGTGATTAGGAACGAAGGAGCAAACACTGGCATATAAACTTTGTCCTATTGCACCCTCGCTGCTTTCAGTCCCCTGCCCCCAGTACTCTTTGTTGAACCTAATGATATGCTCCTTGGCAAGGCATCTGGACATCCGGCTACAGACCAGGGTTTTCCTAATTACAGAGTGCAGCTGGAACCAATTCTCCCAGTCTCGAGTGCCTGGATGTCTGCCTCAGGCCAACTGGCAGCCAGCTCAGATAATGATTCAGAAAATATGTACTCAGAGCTCAGCTTGCAGATAAATTGCAAAGGTGAGGGTGCTGGTGAAAAATAGTGCACTGTGATTATTTAGCACACACAGGGCATTCTGGTCTGCAGCCAAAAAAGATTTTGCACAAAGTTCAAGACATACATGAAAACAAGCAACAGATAATACCATTTTGCCACTGTTTCAGGTCCTTGCTGGAAATCCTGCAGGCTGCTGTGGTGGGGTGGCCTTTGGTAACAGCCAGAGTGACACCACAAAGGGCTGGGATCACTTTAGAGCGCTGGTCCTGGCCTCCTGTCTGGTTTTTGTCATGAAAGTTTGCTTATTTTATTCATTTACTATTCATATGCTGACAAATTTCAAACTCATGTCAGCACTTCTGATCTCTTCTGCTCTGCTCAAAGACCCATGCTGATCACGTCTGAGGTCCCGTCTGTGCCACCAGCATCACCTCAAAATGAACTCCTTGAACTTCCCTCAAAATGCCATAAAACAACTCTGCAGAACATACACAGTGGTACAAGAAGGGGAGAACTGAAAAATGTTTGTTTTTCTAGATCTTTTTCACGTCATCTAAAAGACCTCCAAGGGGTCTTGGGTTTCCTCCCAGGTCCAGTAGTCACCCAAAGAGACTCAGATTTCCCCCTTAGGACTGGGAGCTAAAGGACATTGATGGCTTGACTGTAGGACCAAGCATAAGAGCAATCACTCAGTTAATACAACACCTTCAGCATTACTTAAAACATTTTTAAGCCCATTTTATTTTTTCTGGTACATATTATTCCTACATTAAGTTATCTTCAGATAAACCATATTGTGAAAACCAACTTGGAGGCATTCATTTATACTTCACTCTGTTTAAAACACTATATTTATTTGAATTTTTCTATGGCTTATTTAATTCAAAATACCTGAGGAAGCCACGAGGAAAACAAAGTCATCATTAAAGATTCACTGCTCTCCCTCTCCATAAGGGCTGGAAGAGATCATTATTCACTTCCTGAAATCTGAAGTGAGTCATCCAGAAGACATTATAGAAATGCCTAAGATGAAAGCCAAGTCAGAATAAACAGCAGAACCAAATCTGCTTCTCCTGGTCTTCTTCATGTGTCATAAAGAAACAATATCATAAAATGGCAAAGAGATGTCAACTCTAAAATAAATCTCCAACAACCAAGCTACAGCTCACAGGCACAGCACTAAAAGTAGAGATGGATAAGTGTTGAAAATCCCTCATTGTACTTATGTCCCTGCTGATATTAAATTGATTTTTAGGGGATCTACTGGAAAATGTTGAGCTTGCTTTTAAGTGGAGAGCATGATGACCTCCAGAAGGTGCTGGCATGGGCACAGTCACGCCATCCTTTAGGGACATTATTCCAAGACTTCAGAAGTGATGCTAAGACTTAGGAGGAGGCGGGGTGTTGTGTTGTTGATGGTCTGAGGGCAGCATCCCCAGTGAAGATGGGGCACAGGCATGGATGGGAAGGCGACCTCATGGCCACACGTGGATTTTACTTCCTTCACGTATTCTCATAAAAATACACCTGATTTTCATCTCCTCAGGATTTGACATTCAGCTACCTTCATGTAAGAACAGACAGCAATTTTTTCCTAAGTGAAGATACTTAAGGAGCACGTGTTGCCACCCTGAAAGCTCAAACAAAGCCAGAAACCACGCTGTACTCACCCATCAAGAGAGAATGGCAGAGGGAGAGTACATCAGTCCCGTTACAGTATTTTTGCTGCACTCTTCTTACAAGTACCAGGCACCTACTTACAATGGGGGTCAAAATGCAATAGAGATTTAAAGGGAGAGAAAGGAGCTGCCAGCTCTTTTCTTGAAATCTTTCTCGCAGTGAAAAAAGCCAAAGCCAATACAAACAAGTACACTGCCACAAAAGAAAGCGTTTCAATACAGCTGTACAAAGATAACAGTATTTTAAGGTAGCTGTGCTGGGAAGGTTTTCAAATCAGACTAAGCAATACTGCCTGAAATCATTTTGGTTTGAACAGGACTCATTATGTAAACAAAATAGAGAAATATTTTTTTAAGATGTCAGGATGGATTGTCTTCTATTAGAAGTAGCATCATGAGATTTGTTAACTGAATTATC